GCACTCCAGCTGCCGGGGCGGCCGGCGCCAGTCGGAGGCAGGGGGCAAAGCCAGAATCCTCTCAGCCGAGACCTGCAGCATCCCGCGGAGCCCGAGGAGATGCTGGGGACCAGTGCAGAGCCCCCGCTGGGAGTTCCTCTGCGGCCCAGAAGAAACCGCCATCAGCCAAAGGAGCTGCCGGTTCGGCCAGGCGCGCCCCACGTCCGCAGAAGCAGCCCGAGGCTGACCCAAGTGGGGCCTGGGACCGGTTCCTGCCTCCTGTGGAGAGCGAGGACATCCCGCGGGTGGAGAAGGAGACCCGGGGCCAGTGGAGTAACCCCAAATGGTACGAGTGGCGGGAGAACCGCATCACCGCCTCCGTGGCCCCCAGGATCGCCAACAGCAGGTTCGCCAATGGCAAGACGGACGAGGTGCCCAAGTCCTACCTGAAAGCGGTGGTGAGCTCCGGCCCTGGGGTGCAGACGCCGGCGATGTCCTGGGGGATCCGCAACGAGAAGGCAGCCGTGCAGGCCTATGAGAAGCTGAAGTCGGCCGCGGTGGGCAAGCCTGTGCGGGTGGACGACTGTGGCCTCTTCATTGACCGGGACAAGAAGTGGATCGCCGCCAGCCCGGATGGCATCATCAAGGAGGCAGCCACAGGGAAGGCCCTGGGGCTGCTGGAGGTGAAGTGCCCCTACAAGCACAGGAACAGGACGGTGCGTGAGGCCTGCAAGGACAAGGATTTCTGTCTGGAGGTGGACGGGGACTCCTATGCCCTGAAGAAGGACCATGCCTACTTCACCCAGGTCCAGTGCCAGCTGGCGGCTGCCGGTTTCCAACAGGCCGACTTTGTGGTGCACACTACCAAGGAGACAGCCGTGGTTCCTGTGGAGTTTGACAGCAAGTTCTGGGGGCAGACGGTGCCCAAGCTGGAGAAGTTTTACACCGAGGCGGTGGTTCCTCACCTGCAGGAGAAGGCACATAGCTCCGTCTGGGCCAAGGAGCAGTAGAGCCCCTCCTGCCTTACTCTCTCGGCCACACGAGCCCAGCTTTGGCCCCTGGCATAGAAATTACACCCAGTTTTGCTGTTCCTGGACCGTTTGCTGCCTCTGCCCCAGTGCAACTGCCTTGGGACCGAACTATCGCACCAGCAGGGCCCTGCTGTGGTAGGGTCCCCAGAGACACCCCAGCCAGGCCAGTGCTTGGCCCCAGTGCTTTCTCACCTGTCCCCCCCCAACTGCATCCCCCATTGGGCCCAACAGAACTGCCCGATGGATGCCAGTGCGCCTATGCGTCTGCAGGGAAAGCCAGCAACACCCCTGTCCTGGAAGAACAGGCTTTTTGTGGAGAAAACTGGATCCTTTGGCACAACTGCTGTCAAGAACAATCATAGCTTCGCTCTGAAGTGGAGACAGAGCCCCAAGAGCAAAACAGCTTTTGAGCTGAAGAGTGATGTGCCTTGAAAGTCACAGCAAGAGCATGTGGACACCCTTCCTCCCTGAGCCATCGGACCTGCTGCTTCCTTGGTGTGACCCATGATGGGCACGATGAGCTGGCTGCAGCCTTGGGAAGCTGGTGCCTGCCTCAGGTTGTCCCCCAGTCCACACACCACCAGAGGACCTTCCTGTGGAGCATGCCTGTGTGCTACAGCAAGGTGGGGAGGTGGTCATCACTCCATTAAACCCAAGATGTGTTCACTTGTTTGTTCCCTGTTGTTTGTGCCGCTTGGTGCTTCCCTGGGGGGGCAGGAGGAACAGGGCTGGGTGGGATCCCCTCACCACATCCCCTCCCAGCCACAGCAGTAGGGGAGCATTTGTTGTAAGACCTGAGGCCACCAAACTACACCCAAGCCACCACAGTTATGGCAAAAGTACTTTATTATATACATAAGACTCCAGCCACACTCCACAGGGCAAGGACCAGAATTTGCTATTTTACATCTCAATACAAAGTAACTATAAAAACATAAAGCACTTTTGGGGCCCAGGCTTTCCACAGGAGGAGAGAGGCACAGGGATGAGCCTGGGGGCTGCTGAGTGACAGGGGGCTGCCCCACACCCTCCCCCAGCTGTGGTCCCACAGTAACCAGATGTGCAAGTAGGAAAGAACCCAGTCAAGAAATAGAGCCATGGGGACCGGTGAGCAGAGGCTGTCACCGGGACAGGAGCAGGGCCTGCGTCCCCCAGGGAAAGTGCAGAAGGCACGTGGGCCAGGCTCTTTGGAGGGGATGAGGAGGACAAGGATGAGGAGGAAGAGATGGGATCCAAGAGTTAGAGCACATGGGGCCCCAAGAGATCACACACACCGCGCACAGGGGACATAGAGGGGGAAAAGCCTTCCACTGCCAAGCTTCACCAGGGGCCTGGAGGAGGCACATCCCGTGTCTTGGGAGCAGCAGTTGCATAGCAGAAGGGGCTAGGGGCCCACTCTTGACACATCATTAGGTTTCACTCTACATGTCCAGGAGAAAGAAAAAACAAACGCCAGAACCATGGATTTCTGTGATGGAGGCAGTGCTGGGCAGCAAGGCCTTCCCAGCTCCTGGCTCCATCTGAGCTCAGGGCTCAGCACCTAGCTGGTGTCAGAGCAGATGCTCCACTAGACAGCCCTGCAGGCAGGAGATGGCCACAGGGCACAAGCTTCAGTCATTTTAAACTGAAGTGGAAATTGTGGAAAGCTAGCTGGAGCACTCTCCTGCTCCCCTTTCAAAGGGCTCCCAGGCCTGCCATGACCAGCTCCGAGAACTTCAGTCTCCTACCAGGAATCCCAACACCCGGCATACAGGAGACCTCAGTGCCAGTGGAGAACATGAACAGAGGAGGGCTGCTCAGCAAGAACAGCCTTTATAATCGCCTACTAGAGGATGCCTTTGCTGCTCCGGACCCAACAGGACTATCCTGGGGCTGATGGACACAGCAAATGAAGCTAGGAGCACCATGGGCCAGGGGAGGGACCTCCCCTGTGCAGCCTACAAGGCTGATGAGCCAGAAATGGATGGCTCCACCAGTACCCCCAAGACACAGAGCCCTGATCTGCTTCAGGCATCAGCAGGACTAACGTCCCTTCCCATCCCATCCAGGAGAGCAGCACGCAACATGGAGGGAGCTCTCCTGGGCTGCACCCACTTGCTGGAGAACTTGGGTCACTGGGGCTTTGCCATCGCAGCCCACCCGAAGGTCGAAGGCAAGGAAAAGTAAGCAAAAAGGAGGAAGGGGTGGGGAGAGTGTCACGTCCTGGGATAAGTGTACGCTTCCACCACACCACAGGAAAAACTACTTAGACTAGGTTCTCCTTGTCTGCCCTGGGGGAAAGGCACTGAGCTTCGTGCAAGGACAGAGATGTTTCCAAGTGACCTAGTGCACGGCTGGACCACCCTCCTCTCCACCCAGCACCTCTGTGGTACCCGAGCTCTACGGCCAACGCGATCCCCAGGGAGGATGCACGTGGCAGCTTCCAGGAGTCAAGACGTGCGAGGGGGACAGCCCAGCCCCGCGGCACAGTCCCTCCTCTGCCCTTCCTGTGCATTGATTGTCTACCCAAACAGGGCTACAGTCTTCGGTTCAGAAAGGGGACCCCTGGCCTCCCTGCTCTGGAGGAGCTTCAGTCACAGAAGCGCTTGCGGGGCACCGTCCGCGCTCGGTTCGAGCGGCGAATCTCCTGCTTGGCGTCGCGGCAGCGCTGGCAGATGAAAACCTCAGGCACGTTGGACTTGCGGATCTTGGCACAAGAGAGGTGGATCCAGGTAGCGCATTCGTTGCATTCGATCATGGGCCTCCCCGCGAAGGGCTTCAAGCAGAAGCAGGTGATCAGATCCCAGGCGTCGTCGTCTGGTCAGGGAGAGACACAGCGGTCAGAAACCACCTTACCTGCTGCAGGTCTGGCTGTGGTCAGGCTAGCCGCTTCCACTGGTGTTAGATGGGACAGCCCCCCACTCACCTTCTGCTTTGGTGTTGGGAGCTGCTGGGAATTCGACCGCTAGAGTTGCAAAAGGGGGAGAAAGAGAAAAATATAAATAAAGACCAGATGAGCAAGGCAGCCCTCCACCCCACTTCAGGTCGGTACCGTTCATTCTGCAGGACAGAGCTGCCAAAGGGCAGGCCAGCTCACAGCCCCCTGCTCTTCTGTCCCCCTGGGTCCCAGAGGTGCTCTGCTTGCTGGGAGAAATGTGGGCCATCAACAAGCCCTCCCTGCTGCCAGCGTAGGTGGCTCCAGCACAACAGGGCCCTCCGTACTCCCTTCAACACTTACCACTAAGCTGTGAGCTCCCTCGGCTCACATCTTCCCCTTCGCTTTGGTCCAAGGTACTGCAGGTACTGGGGCTTTTCCTCCCTCCAGAGCAGGGGTCATGCTCCTTTAGCTGAGGATCATCTCCTGCTGGCTTCTCGGTCCCCTGCGCTCCATGCATCCAGTCCTTCTCGGCCTTCATCAGCTCCTCCAGGAGGGAGCTGGGCTGGGTGTCCCCAGCCAGGTTGAGGGAAGGCTCCAAGAGCTGCTCTTTCACAGGAGGCAGCTGTCCCTCCAGCACAGCCGGCTCCTTCACCTCATCCTGCTCTGCCCCAAAGCCCTTCCCCACACTCAGTGGCACGCTATTCTCCACCTCCTGCTCCAAAACGAGTTTCTTTGCTGGTGGTTTCTTCCGTTTGGTTTGCTGGGGCTGGACGTCATAGAAGCTGGTGGGGAAAGCGGAGCAGCTCACAAGCAGGCTGGTGTCCACAGGCCCCC